CTTGAACCTCCAAAAGCATTTAAAGACAATTACAAGGTGGGCTTTCTATCACCTGAAGAACATTTCCAGGATTAAAGGACTAATGTCTCAGCATGATCTGGAAAAACTAATCCATGCGTTTATTTTTAGTCGAATTGATTACTGCAACAGTGTTTTCACAGGTCTGCCTAAAAAGTGGATCAGACAGCTGCAGCTGATCCAGAACGCTGCTGCCCGTGTCCTCACTAAGACTAAGAAAGTAGAGCACATCACCCCGGTTCTAAAGTCCTTCCACTGGCTCCCTGTATCTCAGAGAATAGACTTTAAAATCCTTCTGTTAGTCTATAAATCTCTGAATGGCTTGGCACCTAAATACATCGCAGACTTGCTATCAGTGTATCAACCCTCCAGACCACTCAGGTCTTCTGGCTCCAGCCTGCTCTGTAGACCTAGAACCAGAACTAAACATGGAGAAGCAGCATTTAGTTCCTATGCTCCACTTATCTGGAACAAACTTCCAGAAAACTGGAAAAGTGCGGAAAGCCGGAGTTCCTTTAAATCAAGACTAAAAACACATTTGTTTAGGATTGCCTAGTTAAACAGTTCAACTGAAAGATATTTTCTTTAATCCAACTGTTTTTAACATTCTTTTTTTGTTTCTGCATTTTTTATTTTATTTATTTTTTATTTTTTATTACTTGCTTTATCTTCCTGTATTTTAATCATGTAAAGCACTTTGCATTGTCTTTGTACTGAATTGTGCTATACAAATAAATTTGCCTTGCCTTGCCTATATATATATATGTATGTATATATATATATATGTCCCAAGGACGGACAATCCTGATCATGAAGGATCCGCAGAAGGGAACAACCCCATCCAACTACCGGCCAATAACTTGCCTATGTACAACATGGAAGCTCCTGTCAGGCATCATAGCGGCTAAGATGAATAGGCACATGGCTCAATACATGCACCCTTCCCAGAAGGGAATAGGCAGCAACACCAGAGGAGCCAAACACCAGCTACTAGTGGATAGAGCAGTCACCCGAGACTGTAAGACCAGGCAGACAAATCTGTGCACGGCCTGGATTGACTATAAGAAAGCCTATGACTCAATGCCACATACATGGATACTGGAATGCCTGGAAATGTACAAGATCAACAGGACTCTAATAGCCTTCATCAAGAACTCAATGAAGCTGTGGAAAACAAGTCTGGAAGCCAATGCAAAGCCAATAGCACAAGTCACCATCAAGTGCGGCATATACCAGGGTGATGCACTATCCCCGCTGCTGTTCTGCATAGGCCTGAACCCCCTCAGCCAGATCATCACAAAGACTGGCTACGGATACCAATTCCGAAGCGGAACAATCATCAGTCACCTCCTCTACATGGATGACATCAAGCTGTATGCCAGGAGTGAGCGAGACATCGACTCACTGATCCACACTACCAGGATCTACAGCAACGACATTGGGATGTCATGCGGACTGGACAAGTGCGGTCGCATGGTCTCAAAGAGAGGGAAGATGATCAGAACCGAGGGGGTTGAACTACCAGAAGGCCACATAACAGATGTTCAGGACAGCTACAAATACCTTGGGGTGCCACAGGCTAACGGAAACCACGAGGAGATGGCAAGAAAGACTGCCACAGCTAAATACCTACAAAGAGTAAGGCAGGTCCTGAAAAGTCAGCTGAATGGGAAAAACAAGATCCAAGCCATCAACACATATGCCCTACCAGTCATCAGATACCCCGCTGGTATAATAAACTGGCCAAAGGAGGAGATAGAGGCTACTGACATCAAGACGAGAAAGCTCCTCACAATGCATGGAGGGTTCCACCCCAAATCCAGCACTCTGAGACTGTACACCAAGCGTAGCGAGGGAGGCCGAGGGCTAGTGAGTGTCAAGACCACTGTCCAGGATGAAACAACTAAGATCCAGGAGTACATCAGAAAGATGGCCCCCAAAGACAAATAGCTCGGTGAGTACCTTAGGCAGGAGAAAACCGAAAGTGAGGACAAGAAAGAGGAAGGGGAACCATCATGGAGGGACAAGCCGCTGCACGGCGTATACCACAGACAAATAGAAGAAGTGGCTGATATCAAAAAATCCTACCAGTGGCTGGAAAAGGCTGGACTGAAGGACAGCACAGAGGCACTAATCATGGCAGCACAAGAACAGGCACTCAGTACAAGATCAATAGAGGCCAGGGTCTACCACACCAGGCAGGACCCCCGATGCAGACTGTGCAAAGATGCCTCTGAAACAATACAGCACATAACAGCAGGGTGTAAAATGCAGGCAGGAAGTGCATACATGGAACGCCACAACCAGGTAGCTGTCATAGTGTACAGGAACATCTGCCATGAGTATGGGCTGGAAGTCCCAAGGTCAAAATGGAAGACACCTCCTAAGGTAGTTGAGAATGACCGAGCTAAGATCCTATGGGACTTCAAGATCCAGACTGACAAACAGGTGATGGCTAACCAACCAGACATCGTGTTGATGGACAAACAGCAGAAGAAGGCAGTAGTGATAGATGTGGCAATCCCAAGCGACAGCAACATCAAGAAGAAAGAACACGAGAAGCTTGAGAAATACCAAGGACTGAAGGAGGAGCTAGAAAAGATGTGGAAAGTGAGAGCAGCAGTGGTGCCAGTGGTAATGGGAGCACTGGGGGCTGTGACCCCCAAACTGGGAGAGAGGCTACAGCAGATTCCAGGTAAAACATCAGAGGTCTCTGTCCAGAAGAGCGCAGTCCTAGGAACAGCTAAGATACTGCGCAGAACCCTCAAACTCCCAGGCCTCTGGTAGAGGACCCGAGGATGACGCATATCCCCCCACCAGGGGGGAGAAAACAGGTTTTTTCATATATATATATATATATATATATATATATATATATATATATATATATATATATATATATATATATATATATATATATATATATATATATATATATATATATATATATGTGGATATATATATATATCCACATACATTTTGTTCTGTGAAACTGTTGGTATTTTTCCATGCAGCACAGGGATGAGGTATCTTCTCCATTCGACGTTTAGTACTTTCTGCCAAATACTATATGGCGGTGACATCGACCTACAAACCTGCGCCCACGAGGCGTCTAGGTATAGATGTCCATAGTCAAGGGAGAGAAAGGGAAGCCATGGCAGTCATAGCTTAGGCTAGGTCCTTTCCACCAGGAATAAAACCATTTGGAAGCTACATGTGTTCAGTAGAAAAGTGCAGCAGAAGGCATAGTTTTATATTATGCTTTTGGACAGTTAGAGTAACTATCAGAGAAAAAAGTTGACAACCAGACCAGCTGTAGGTCTGTCCAGCAGGACCAGATTCTTCATTCCACTGTCAGCAGTACAGAGCAATGGAATTCACTCTCTGCATTTAACCCCTCCCCTTGAGGAGCAGTGGGCTGCCATGGTGCAGCGCCCATTGAGCAGTGTGGGGGTAAGGGTCTTGCTCAGGGACCTAGAGTGGCAGTCTGTGCTTGAACTCAGTACCTCTGGATTCCAAGCTCTATACCCCTTGCAGAACTTTATTACTGAAGGCCAACACTTCTGTGTCACACAGCTCAGATGATCTAAACATCACAATGAGATCATAAGCTTTGAGCCTTGATCCCAGAGAGCCTTGAGGCCTCCAAGGGCCACCAGAAATCATGATGAAGTTCTCATATGTTGGGTCAAGCCCATTAATCATCTATCTACCATCTCTATATGGACCAACATCCCTAAGGAATGTCTCTGACACCTTGTTGGCCTTCAGTAATAAAGTTCTGAAGGAAAAAGGGCCCAACCCAGTATGACTGAAGCTGACCTAGATGAATGTCTGAGAGAACATTTGGATGAATTTATATTCCTTATTAATTATCAGTTTGTTTGTTAAAAATCAACTAAATAACCTTTATTAAGACAGAATTGTTTTGCTAGTTCTAAGGATGTCTCCCTCATGGAGGAAAGTATTGGATCTGCTTTTCCCAGACTTCACTTTGAATCAGAACCAAAGATTAAATCTGACTGCAGCTGAAATCACTAATCACTGTCCTAAAAGGCACTCGATGATGTCATCGTCTGATTTGCATACTTCATGTCATCTGGCTGCAGGAGGTTCTTATCCCTCCAAGTTTTTACTCATTTGTTTATATTTTGCTGTCTGCCTGAGCAGCGCAGAAAGACCGAATGAAGGAGGAAGAAAGGTGGGAATTTGAAGAGTTTTATAGAGACTTTTACAAAAACAAGGAAAGAAAATTCTGCATTTAGTTCAACTCTCCATAACAATCAGTGACACTATTAGTTGTTTGCCATCCAGCAATAAAAATAAAACATAAAAAAACACAAAGAAGAGGAAGAAGAAAACATCAGTAAAAACACACAGACTGGAGTAGCAGAAGGGGAGAGAATGAGGCTGTAGATCAAGTGATTTTATGTGAGACAACACTGTGGGTCATAAATGATTTTCATAGTTCAATTTAGCAAACTATGGCGGGATTTAATTTCCAATCTGAATTCGAAGCAGAAAGGTTTATTTTCTATGCTGTAGCGCAGGCCGCCTGCTCTGCATGACCATAGCAGGCAGAGACTCACCAACAGGATGACAGAACGTGATGCTTTTATGTTGCTAAAGTCTCTATTAACACAGCAAAAAGCTGCTTTTAGTGAAATAAAGGCGCCAGAGGGGTCTGATAAGCACTGATGAAACCCTGAGCCTCAGGTTTAGACTTTTATCTGCTAAGCTAATTGATCTTTAATTTCCTCTTTGTTTTGGTTAACATGAATAGGAAGGTGTTGTTTTTTATGCAGTACGGGGAACAGTCAGGGTTAATAATGAGAAATGAATGGTTGAGAAGGCGTGGCACAAATTTTAGAACTTAATGACTGTATGTCTTTATTAATGACAAAGGATTGTTCCTGTGCAGGAGAATAACTGAACCCCTGATCAGCTGTTTTAGTTACTGACTGAGGTCCTGAAGGTCTTACCAGGGGCATCATGGCTGAGGCTTTGGGAGAAACCTGTCCTCTGTAATGGTTGTGCAGCTCCACCAGAAGCTCCTCCTCAGTGTTCGAAAGGCTCCGGGCTCCAGGGACCAGCAGGGACCCCAGCAGCAGACACATCCAGAAACAAGCTCCCCTCAGTGGGCTGCTTGGGAGGGGGGAGTCCCCCCTGAGCCTGGAGCTCCAAGAAGAAGCTCCATCCTGAGCAGTCTGTGGGGTCGAGGCCCCCTGCAGTTCAGAGAGGCTCCAGAGGTGCATGATGGTGAACCAAATCCTGAGGGCTGCTTCCTGAAGTGTGAGAGCAGCAGTGTGTCGTCCTCCACGGTGCCTCTCAGGTCTGAACATCTTTCTGTTTCTGGGTCGGGTTTAAGTGAGCCCAGAAACCTCCCCTTATCCACCCTCCCCACTCCCCCTGATGTGAAATGGATACTTTCAGAAATGTCCTGTAAACTTTTAGCTTCTATGTATCAGAGCCATCTGCTCTTTGGACCATATCAACTGTACTGCCTGTTTGTTTTACTCCAACCCTGCTACCTCTTTCATGGTTTCTTAACCCTCAAAATTTGCTCTGTCTTCTGGTTCAACAAGATCTGCTCCCTTTCCTTTCATCCTGATTGATGTTGTTGTCTTTCAGTCTTGCTTTGAGATTCTTGGAGACAAACTGACCTTGATTTGGGTTTTTTTCTCCAGCTGTTTGAGGCTTTTGTTATGACTCTTTTACTCCTTTTGGGTTTCTGGTGTTTACTTTTCTGTTCTATCTTTTTTTCTGTTTTTGTTCACTCTTTGTCTTTGCTCTTCTTAAAGCAAAGAAAGAATAGTTGTATGGAACATTTAGATGACAGGACAGTACACCAGAAAACGTCTGGGCAGTGGTAGCCAAATCCTTTAGTCCCTGATATAAAATACTTGAAGTTAATCTTGTCTGTTTTGGCAAAGGAATAAGAAGTTAACGGTAAAAGAATACAAGCCGACAGAGAGCGAGGAAAGAAAAGCATCAGGCAGAGAAGTAGAAGTAAAATTCACATGTATTGCACACAAATTTTTACATGTAAAATTATGCTGTCACGCCAAAGAGCAGATGAATTCATATGGATCCGGAACAGTTAATAATTAAACAGACTGTGAAACAAAAATGTTTATGGATGGGTTTTTGAGTTTTCTAAACTTTTGCCTTACGTTGTTAACTTTAATAAGGCTTACAAGTTCAGACAATAGTTCTTCCAACTTAAATCTTGTCATTCATCAAATCAGGATAAACCAGGAAAGTTTACAAAGAATTGTGGATGTCTATGTCTGTATTTCTGATAAATGTGTATATATATGTAAGGAGCGGGTGTATGTCCATATCCATGATTTGTACTGCTAGCTTGTTCTGTTTCAACTGGAGCAGAGCTGTTTAATAAACATGGCAGCATCCGCATATGATGACGGCGCAACTGGACCGGAGCTGGTGCACGAGAGGCACCGGTTCCGACGCTGGCCAGGTTATGCACAAACTGCGAAGGAAATCTGGAAGTTGACGAGGGAAAGGGAGAGAGAGGACGATCAGCTGTTCACTGTCTTGCGGTGCACGGACTCGACCCAGGGGGAATGAGGAGGAGCGGACACAGCGGGTCCTCCAAGAGATGAACTCCCGGGTTCGCTGGCTGAGTTAACAGTGAGCTGGCTGTTGGAGAGTAGGCAGAGTCTGAATGGTGTGACGGCAAGGAGCTGCAGCAGGCTGACAGCTGAAGGGGCCCGGGTATGCAGTGGGGACCTCTGCCATGCTTGGTACTGATTTGAGACTCCAGAGCACAAGAGAGCACTTGGGACGGGATCCAAGGTGAGAGGCAACCTGAGAGGGACAGGAAACAATAATTATTCTGAGAACGAGTAGCTGTTGACCACAAAAGGTTAACACTCTGGCATTGATCAGCCGGCCGCCCTCCACTTAAACCCTCCTGTCATCACGTCACCGAAGAAGCCGCAGCTGTGCACCACACCCTCTGCTGAACTACCGCCACCTGCAGGAGAAAAGGAAAAGGCAGCAGGCAGAGACCTGGTCAGTGATGCCTGCTGAGTCCTGACAATACCTAACCCCAAACTTATACCTAACTATTACCAACTTATACCTAACTTTTACCAACTTATACCTAACCTAACTATTAGACAGACTTAGGCTTCTTTATTTGTCATTTTGTATGCACAGTGCATACAGAACGAAATTGCGTTACATACAGCTTATGAACATTGCATTGATATTTCAAATGGCACGAGTTATACAAAAATACAAAAAGTGCAGCAGTGGTCAAAGTGTAAACAGTGTAGAGGATAAAGACAGTGTGCAAATTGCAGTGGTTCAGTGCAGATAGGCATTTGTGCAAAAAATGCGTTATTGAGAATAGAAATGAGATGAACTTGAAGGGCTAAAAGTTAAACGTTCAGCAGCATTGATGCCCGATAATGTGCAATAGGTGCAGAGTTCGGTTTGTGGATCAAAGGTTCAACAGTCTGATGGCAGTGGGGAAGAAGCTGTTGCAGAACCTGGTGGATCTGCAGCGGATGCTGCAGAACCTCTTCCCAGAGGGCAGCAGGGACAACAGTCCATGGTGGGGGTGTGAGGGGTCTTTGATGATATTACGGGCTCGGGACACACAGCGCTGTGATGAAATGTCCTTAATGGAGGGAAGAGGAGCCCCAATGATTCCTTCTGCTGTCCTCACCACCCTCCTCACATTCTTCCAGTCAGAAGCTCTGCAGCCTCCACACCACAGAGAGAGACAGCTGGTCAGAACGCTCTCTATGGTGCTTCTGTAGAAGGTTGTGAGGGTGGGTTAGGGCAGGCGGGCCCTCCTCATCCTCCGCAGGAAGTACAAGCGCTTCTGTGCCCTCTTCACTAGAGATGAAGTGTTTACAGTCCAGGTGAGGTTGTCCGTGATGTGCACCCCCAGGAACTTTGTGCTGCTGACCACCTCTACAGCTGAGCTGTAGAGGTATTACCAACTTATACCTAACCTAACTATTACCAACATATACCTAACCTAACCTTTACCAGTGGGAAAAGTATTCAACCATTCATCCTAGTTAAATAAACGGAGATCAATGGATTTCACTCAGTCGCCACATTTATTCATATCTTTGTAAAGAGACAACAGTTTGTCATGCAGCCCTAATGGCAGCATTCTGCCCCGTTCTGCCTGAGCAGCGTTCGTTCCTCTTTACTGACAACAAAGGAAAAGTAGTCAGAGTCACATTTATAGATAACCTTTATTTTTCAACCGAAAAAGGAGCAGGCTGAAGCAAAACTTATATGTTGCCTTTCCAGCTTAAACCCAGAATTAATGCTAACACAGCTTCACATTACTCTTTCATAAGCAAATCAAACGTATCAAGACAAAAGTTGCATTTGTGTTTTCAAATTTTCCTTTTCTCATGTTTTGATTGTCACTCATTGTTTTCTGTTTGAGCCTTTTAACTATTGACAAGGAAGTATGTAGTTGAAGCTCTGTCAGAAGCCCATTCCACAGATAACAACCACATTAATATTAACCATTTGTATTTACTTTAATAAAATGATCCAAACCTCTTAAACCGGAAGCACTTGCTCCAAAAAAAAAAAAAAAAAGGGTCAACTATTTGAAATTATTTTGTTTAGAATAGTATGTAATGGAATAAAATACAAAATCCCTTTATTGTCCCATAATGGGGAAATTGTGGTTTTACAGCAGCAAAAGGTTATAGTAGAAGTGGTAATACAATGAAGACTTAGAATAGTGTGTAAAAATAACAGATAGGAAACAAATAAAATCCTGTAAAGTGTTTTAACAATATAAAACTGGAGAATAAATAACCAATATCCAGCTGTGGACATTTTTACAGTAATTTGAAAATATTATCTAAAAATATTTAAAAATTATCTAACAGAGATGTTCATTTAGTTAGGATCTGTCTGCTTCCCACCTCCAGGGGGCAGCCAATCACAGAACTTGCAAATTGAAGGGGCGGACCCTGTTCAATCTGCATCTTTTCTAAGCCAAAACAAAGCTTTGTTTTCAGTCCACTCTATAAAGTCAAACTTAATGCTATTTCTGCCATAGTTGATTGTTTTTTTTTTTAACCTTTTTTTGGAATAAAGAGTGAACAAACATTTTTGCTGCATTTCGCACAATACATAAAATAAGGCATGATCAAAGAACTATAAATCATACTTTTATTGTTTTGTAAATCATGCCAAGAGATTTAGAGAGTTGTCTTTTAATATATTCAATGTGGGATTTCCAAGACAGTTTACCATCTATTATTACACCTAAGGAATCTAGTTTACATACACGCTCAATTTCTATACCATTCAACTGTATTCTTCTTTCACCTATATTTTTATTGCCTGAAAATATACAATATTTAGTTTCAGATCAAAGGGAATACCTCCTTAAATAACCTGGTTGGAACTGGATCTAACCCCAACGAGGAGATAATATGCTGCTATTGCTTTACGAAGCGTCATTTTATTGGTAGGATGTACGCATTTAGAGCTCATTTTCTATCCAGTTTCCTAGCGTTTTGCTTCAGGGTGCACAGCTCTGCATTAAACCAGGGAGCCAGCTTTCTATTTTTAACTACCTCAGAGGCTGCCTCGCCATTCAGAGAGAAACCAATCGCAGATAAAGGAGTGCTAATGATCTTATCTTTAATAAGATCAATCTTATTTATAAAGCATCCCATAAAATCATTGCTGCTAAGAGCAGGTGGAATGGATGGTTCAACAGAGCTATGGCTCTGGGTGAGTTTAGCAACTGGATTAAAAAGAAATCTAGGATTATTCCTATTCTCCTCTATTAATGAGGAGAAGTATGCTGCTCTTGCTTTACAAAGGGTCCTCTTATACAGCAGTAAACTATTTTTCCAGACAAGGTAAGATTCCAGTAGGCATTTCCTAGCATTTTCTGAAGGGGCTGCATTGTCTAGAGCGCCATTTTCTGGAAAGACATGGAGTGCCCCACTGTTACGCGGTGCATGTTGTCTTGGCAGTTTTGTCTAAAGATCAAATTATAAATGTGACATTTAGCTTAGTTTCTTTAAAATGTTGGACCTTCTTTAAATATATCTTTCCCTTCTTTTAACAGGGCCCTTCTTTGTTCTAAACTTTAGCAGATTCTCTCATATAAACCCATTTATGATCAGTCTTACATAAGCCCCCTCAGTTTAAAGATAAACTAGGATCAGATTTAATCTGATATTTCCGTCTCCACTGCCTTATTCAAGTCTCTTTCCTTCAAAGACTATTTTTCACATCCCAACAAGCAGGAATTTACTTGCTTTTTGGCTGCTCTCCATCGTCCATCTGGAACAAGCTGCAGGACAAGAGAACCCAATGCTTGGAC